CCAGCCCGGCACGCACGGCACTGCTGGGGAGGAGGTGGGGATGTGCTGGCACACCTTTGCCCGCTCCACTCCCAGCCCGGCTGACTCAGCCTGCCGCCCATGGGAATGCCCCGGGCAGCACTGCGTGGGGCCAGAAGCCCAGCGTGTCCCCAGTGTCCCGGCCCCGGGGTTTACAGGGTTTACAGCCACCCTCCCGAAACTGCCATGGGAGGGTGTGTGTGGGACACAGCACAGCCAGTTCCTCTCACTAGCACCGGCTGGCAAGGGAAGGCAGTGAGGACCCAAGCCCAGCTGGAGCACCTGGGAGAGCCTGGGTGCGAGCACAGGACTAACACTTGGCTCAGACACCAGGAGCTGATGGCCAAGCAGATGCCACCGCATTCTCCATCACCCCATGGCTGCACCCCAGGAGGCTCCAGCCAATACAAACAGGGATGTGCAATGAGAGCATGTCCCCTTACTGGCACCGGGTGGTGCCAGCCGATGTTCTTCCTCTTTGGGCCCCCCATCCTTCCTCTCCTCCCTTTCCACACATACAAAATGCCAGAGCAGGACAGGACGGGGCAGTGCCAGCCAGCGGGACATTGAGGTGGCAGCAAACGGAGCACATGGAGATGCCTCAGCTGGGGCAGACCCTGTTGGCCATGGTGAGGCTTGGAGACCTGGTCCTCCCACCCAGTGTGGGTGTCGGAAGGCAAGAGTCAGAGCATCACTGACAGCTCCTTGGGTCATCACAGCCCTTCCTGTCACCATCACGCGGCATCTAGAGATACTGGTGTCCCTGTCTGGCTGGGGCTGCTTTGCTGGCCCTGTGCTCAGGCAGCCTGGCCAGACCACTTCTACTCAGGAGCCCTTGCCCTTGGAGGGCAGCCTGCACATTGTCCCCTCTCCTCGCCTCGGCCAGGCGAGAGCAGCGGTACATGCTGGGGCACACATGTCATCAGTCCCGAGCCCTCCGGCCCCAGTGAGCCACGGGGAGGACGAGCGTGGTGCCCTCCTGCCTGCAGACCAGCCAAGTCCCCTTCATCGGTGGCAGAGGCTGGGCACTGCAGCACAAGCACCATCCTGGGGGCCGTACGTGGGGCTGGCTCTGCTCCCCCGGGAACGCCCAGGTGCAGTTTATCCCTCCTCTGCTGTTTGCCCAAGGGCTGCCTTGACGTGGGTCCCCCAGCCCTGCCTGTGCCTGATGGCAAGTACGTCACCGGGGCACACTGCCGCCTGTCTGCACACCCTCCCATGCCGCCGGTGCCACCACCACTGCACCAACCAGCTCAACTCTCCACCTGCCACCCACCTAATCCCACAGGCACCAGGGCCACTCACCGTTCTCCCACTCTCCTGAGGAAACCCCTGTGCTTCGACAGCGACGATCTCAAACTCCGAGGAGGATCCCTGCAAGGGGAGGCAGTCAGGTCAGGTCTCCCCAGGGAATGGCAACCCAGGATGCCCACCGCATGGAGGCAGGAACCGCTGGGACGTCAGCATGGAAGCTGACCCCTCCTTTTGGATTTATCCCCGTTTCTAGAGGCTAAAGGCTGCCTCCTTTTGTTTTAACTAGAGGAAGAGTCTCTCCCTTCCGCCATGCCAGCACCAGCTCTCGTATTCACCAGACTCACACTTGGAGGAGATTTCCGTGCTTCCGTGTCTGGCTGGGCGCTGCCTGGGGCAGCCCGCGTAGAGCTGGGATCAGGGCCGACGGCTGCGGAGAGGGGAGAGGATGTAGCCATGAGCCTTTTTGCGCAGGGATGCAGAGAGCAGACACCCCACGAGGTCAGGGATTGATGGATGGTTTCTACCCCAGCTATAGGGATGGGACAGAAACCTCCCTCCAGGAGAAGGGAGGACGGCAATGGTTTGATACACTTCAGAGACGACAGGGCTGCAGGAAACCTTCATGAAAGTCTCCTTCACATTCCCTCCCTTCCCCTGAGCTCAGGATCCTGAGCCATCAGGTGATCCCTTCCCAGGGAGCCCTGTGTCTCCTACCTCCAGTTTCCACCAGATCCTCCAAGGAAGATGACGCGATCAGCATTTTGTTGTCTTTCACGAGGTCCTCTGCCTTCTGCCGCAGCTTGGATGCCTCCACCTGGGACTCCTCCAGCAGCTCTCCTGTTGTGGGTGACAGAAGGACGCTCACCCTCCTTCCCAAAGTGTCTGCCTACAGCAGGCCCATCCACCAATACCAAGCTCCCTGCTTGGGTGGAGAAGTGCCCAGCATGGTCCTTCTTCATCCAGAAACAACTTTTCTTGGCAAAATCCAACGGTAAAGCTGTATCAGTGGCTCGCTGGCTGCAGAGTCCCCCATGCTGACACACAGAGGACTGGTTACAGGAGGCAGAAGGGCAGCACTGCATTTCTCAAAGGTCTCCACTGCTTCCCAGAAGAAACAAATTTAAGCCTAGGTGGTGGACCTAGGGGTCTGGCCTGCCCACTTTGGGGTTGGCACTGGCAATGCAATCCTCTCTGCACCCCGGGTGGCTGCTCCCACACGAGCAGGTCCCTGTCCCGGGTAGGGGTATGGTGTCATGATGGGAATCACAAGGCAGGTGGAAATTTGGCTGCAGAAGCAGGACATGAAAGCGGAAGCTGGGTCACGAGACCAAAAGCAAAACCAGGGGTGGGTGGGGGAAGGTGGCCAAGGAAGAGAAAGGGGGTGGCATGACTCGGCTGGAGCATTTCAATGCCAGCATGTCCCTGCTGCCGCAGGAAGCACCCAATGCTGGGGTCTTTGAGCAGCACCCAGGAAAAACCTCTGACCCGACAGGGGCTGCAGGAGGTGGGGGCTTTCATCAAAAGCAGAACAGATCCTGGCATCTACATCCTGCCACTGCAGGACTCTGAGGAGCTGACCTCGCTCCACTACTTGCCTTTTTTTTCCCAGCCATTTACCCCACTGTAAAGCATCCCAGGAGTTCAACAAAAGCCTTGCTCCCTCTGCACCCCTTTGTGAAAAAGCCCAGAGATTCCGCTCCACCCCCCAGGACGGGGAAAGCTTTACTCCTATCCCAGTGCCAAGACCCCGAGCTTTTTATAGCACCCTTCCTAAACAGAGCAAGAAACCCCCAGGTTCAGTGGGCACAGGCTGAGCTGCCCCAAAGGCGAACCTCGTCCCCGAGCCACGCAGCAGTTACCGATAGACTTGATCCCCTGCATCTTCTCCTTCAGCCGGGTGTTCTCCTCCACCAGCCGCTCAAAGGCCGTGGATGCATTCTCCTCTGAGCCCCCGCCAGGGTCGTAGATGCGGTAGGGTCCTCTCCCTTCCATGCCTGCCCTTCAGTCGCCTACCTCCCAGCCAGGCATCCCTGCAAGGCAACGGAGCACAGTGTCACCTTCCTCTGGCTCCAGGCAGCACCGCGGTCCCCTGGTCCCAGCTGTGCGTGGGGCCGGGGCACTGTGCTGGCAGAGGCAGCGCTGCCTCTCTGCTCCCCAGCCAGCGAAGAAGTGTCCCAGGTGAAGACACTTCCCCTTCCAGCCCTGCTCGGGGTGAACGTGCCGGGGTGACTCACAGCCATGAGAAGTGTCATGCGAGGAGGCATCACCAGCAGCCCCGCTCAGGGCTGGCTCTCACCCCTGTGGGGCACGGGAGTCCCCGAGGACGTCGCAGATGCCTGCCCCTGCATCCTGGGAGGGATGGAGATCCAGCCCAGGAGCATCCATCCATGCCAGTGCAGACCTGGGCACTGT